GGGTGGGGCGTGTTTGGGTGGGTGGGTGGGTGAGGTGTGTATGGGTGGGTGGGTGGGTGGGTAGGGCATAGAGTAGAGTAGACTTTCGTAGAGTAGAGTGTCATAGAGTGTCATAGAATAGAGTAGAGTGTCGTAGAAAAAAATGTCGTAAAGTAGGGTAGAGTACGTACAGTAGAGTGTCGTAGAGCAGTATGTCGTAGAGTAGAGTGTCATAGAGTGGAGTGTCATGTAGTAGAGAAGAGTAGACTATTGTAGAGTGAAGTGTCGTGTAGTAGAGAAGAGTAGACTATCGTAGAGTAGAGTGTGTGTGTGTGTTTGCGTGCGTATCACACGTGTGTGTGTGTGTGTAGGTGCGTGGGTGCCCTGTGAGTGTGTGTGTGTGTGTGTGTGTGTGTGCGAGTGCCCTGTGTGAGTGTGTGTGTGTGTGTGTGTGAGTGCCCTCTTTGTGTGTGTGTGTGCCCTGTGTGTGTGTGTGTGAGTGCCTTGTGTGTGTGTGAGTGTGTCCTGTGTACGTGCGTGTGAGTGCCCTGTGTGTGTGTGTGAGTGCCTTGTGTGTGTGTGAGTGTGTCCTGTGTACGTGCGTGTGAGTGCCCTGTGTGTGTGTGTGTGTGTGTGTGTGTGTGGACGAAAATATATATTTTTTTGTTCTTTATTTATTTTATTAATTATTCTTGACAATGAAGAGTGTATTATTTATTTCACATATTATTAGTTAAAATGGTTTTTATTTTTATTTATTTATTTATTTATTTATTTTTAACTTTAATATATATATATATCATCACAAACAGAACTGCCCGGTAAACCGTAGGCAGAGAGAGAGAAGAGGACAACAAACAAGGGGCTATGACAAACTGTTTCGTCGGAGTTTCACCGACTCATCAGGAGGCTAAACCCTCAACAGTCTACAAAATCCCCTCACTGATTACACTGTAAATGATAATCTACCTTAACCAAAATCAAAGTAGACTATCACTCACCCATACCAGATGGAAAACTCAACAGACTGTCGGTTCATACCCCATCACAAGCCAGCAAAACATCCACGAAACAAAGAAAGGTCTGTCACAGCCAAAAAATACACTCCAGACACGCCGCTGGCACTAGAGGCACAACATGGCCGCCTAGTAACGGCCCCGACCACTGTCGCTCGACCTGACCGGAAAAACCGTAGCAAGAATATATATTCAGGGTTGCCGGCGTTTCTCATGAACTTGTATTCGTATCTGAAAAAGTAAATGTTACACCATAGTGGTGAACAGTTGGCGCCCATAGGGATGCCCAAGATCTGTTTCCAGATGTTGTTGCCAAAAGAGGTGTAGGCGTTGGTAATAAGTCATTTATTGATGACATTAACCATCTTGTTACTAAGGAAAAGATATCCATTGGGGGGGGTGTTATACCAGTCGCATGTGGGGGTTAGTTCGTCTCCTTTATAGTAGAATTTAAAGGCAAGCTATATATCAGCTCCGGATATTTTCTTTGCTTGTTGAAAGGCTAGTTTTGTGAAGAACTTAATTGCATGAGGTAGCCCTTCCGAGTTGTCATCAATGGGTATGGTTT